CCACCACAGTCCTGTCCTAAATTGCTACATCGAATAGATCTGATCCGGGGGAGTCGGCTAAATTAGACTAAATCTCCCTATTATTATGACCCTTCGGATTAATGTATTCCGGTGACTTTACGATAAATTTGTTTGAACATTTCGAGGAAAAAAAAGAGCAAATGTTTTCATTACAGCTTGCACTGTAAAGGCAAATATACTTTTAAAAGAATAACATTTACCATGGACATAATGATTGATCTCTGCATATCTCTCTCTCTCTCTCTCTCTCTCTCTATCTTTACGACGCCTTTATACTGCCGTTTCGCTCCAAGATTCTTGGAGCCCTACCCTTCCTCACCACAATCATCATGATGATATGTGCTTACCTTCATGTCATGTATTAATATAGGCTTCCAATGTGGGGAAAACCAGTATAACCACTCGGTTCATCGAAGGAACGTTTACTGAGGCATACAAAGCCACTATCGGGTAAGCTTCTATACCCTCCCGACCACTTTCTCAACCCCCTCCCTCCTCTCTCTCTCTCTCTCTCTCTCTCTCTCTCTTTCTCTTCCCCCTCTCTCTCTCTCTCCCCTCTCTGCCTCTCCCAGGGTCCTCTTCTCATTTTCTTTTTTTCCCTCCAAATCTCTTATGATCTTCCCCCATGATCTCCTTCTCTATCTCTCTCCTCTCAACTTTTGTCTGATTTATACCAAAATATCGCTAATTTGTCGTCACAAGAATGTATCATATAACAACGATTTCCTATGGCAGGATTTTGGTCGAAATATATATATGTAAAGGTCTTTTAAACCAGGATCTTGTGGTCGTATATGTTTTAATGCCGTCGTACATTATATTCTTTAAACATTGGCTGGAACTGCGAATAAGTTCTAATTCATAGCCCGTATTCTCAATACGGAACTTCTTGGCTTGATTTCATTTATAGTTATGTCTTTATGAAAGTGGAAGGAAGTAAGTCTAGAACAGAATTATGAATAGCAAAGTCATACTCGTACCAATCTCGCTATAAACAGTTGCGAGTAGTTTCTTCTGAGGCTGAGGCAAACATTTTTAAACGAATATCATAGGAATGTTCACACATTCAAATTGTCATAATTAGCTTGTAATAATGTATACAATAAGTTTTCATTTCATAGCTATCGGACCAATGCACCTTTAACATCTTTCGTTTCAAGGACAATACTATCATTTCAGACATGTGCCCTCTTGGACCTTCAAAATCCTTTTTAAATGTGCATGTATCTATTTAAGAATATCCTGCATTTTCTTTATATGCTTATGAAAATAGTCCTTACTGAAACTGAACTCGCTATGGAGTCATTGGCTATTTTACGGTAGTTCGCATGTAGTTTTGGTCATGAAACTGTTCATATCTGACCTACTTTCCTCCCCCTCTTTTTTTTTTCTCTCTCTCTCTCTCCCATCATAGCGGTGCCTTCTCATCAAGGTCACTCTATTATCAGCTCATCGAATATTGTTTTGCATTATGGGATACGGCGGGGCAAGAAAGGGTAACTATAAATTTTTTCATAATGTATTGCGGAGAAGAAGGATTTTGTTGTCAGCGATATCGGGAATTTTAGGTGTAAAATCATTTATCATTCATCTAATACTTTATACTTTACTTAACCTTTTTTTTAAACTAAAAAACATCAACAAAAATATAGTGGTTCTTCTCTCCATGACCCCCCCCCCCCCGCTTATTTACCGGCTTGATGAATCGCTGCTAAATATTTTCTCACGAATTGGGAAACAAAATGAGTTCTCCCCCCCCCCTCCCCCCCCAAATTATTCACCGGCCAGCTTAATCGGCCCTAAATTTTCCCTCAAAAACTGGAGAGAAAAAAAGTGCTCTTACCCCCCCCCCCCCCCGCTTATTCACCGGCCGGCTGAGTCGGCGCTAAAAAAAAATTCACACGAAATGGGCCCCCCTCCTTCCGCCGGCTGGATCCCCCACTGGGCTGAAGGCGTAACTGAATTTAATTTAGCCTAACTTGACTTAATTCAACCTAACTTATTGAACTTATCTTAACTTAACTTAATGTATATTCACTTAATTTAACCTAACCATTGCCATGATTATTATAATCTGTTTATTTGTCTCATACAGTTTCGTGCACTGGCCCCTCTGACGTACAGGTCTGCAGCCGCCGCACTCATCGTTTATGACATCACAAATCAGGTGAGGGAATATATATTTTCGCTTAAGCCCCCATCACACCAAACTAGTTCTCACTACGTTCTGGAACCGTCCTAGAAAATCGTAAAACAGGTTGCGGTCAGGGCAGAATGTGTAAAAATGTCTATAATACGATCCTAGTTCGTTCGTAAACAGTCCTCAATACGTCCATCTCGTTTGTTCCCCGTCCACAGCCAGTTCATAATAGGTTCAAATCGGGTAGATTAGGCAGTCCAAGCCAGTCCGTAGTCAGTTTAAACCCATTATTAACTAGTTCGACCTCGTTCCCAATACATCCGAACCCATTCTAACTAGTTCGCCACTTGTTCTGACTAGATTTTAACCCGACCACCCCGTTCAGAGGCAGTTCAACTCTTCCTCATCTCGTTCTGAGTGCGTTCGAACGCTTCTAGAGCGTGTGCAATCCCGTCCTGACTCGGGACTTATAAAACCCCAGAGCGTTCTCGCCATTCCTCATTCCCGTTCAATTTCAACGCTTTAGGCTTTGCAGTTTAAGACGTTAAAGTCAAGCACCTATCACACCAAACTAGTTCTCACTACGTTCTGGAAAATGTTGCCAAACGGGCTCAAACTGTGTGTGAACGGAGTGAACGTATTAGCAACTATTTACGATCTTTTTAAGGACTTCGTGGACGGGCTCGGACTGGCTTGGACGGGAAGGGTGGTCTAGAACTTTGAGCCTGTTCAATTGGACGGAGTGACAAGTACTTAAAACGAGATGGACGTACTACGAACGGAATTGCCGTACTTCGATCCTACTAGGAACGTGTTACCACGTGATGTGGTCGAGCATCAACGAGGAAGAACGCGCTGGGTTTGTATAGCCCTCAAAACAGGACGGGATTGCAAATTAAGCACGATAGAAGCGCGTTCGAACGCACTAAGAACAAGAAGAGGACGAGTTGAACTGTCTCTGAAAGGGGTGGTTGGGTTATAAACTAGTTAGAACAAGTTCCGAACTAGTAAAAATGGTTTGGACTGCTTGGAAATATCAAATTTATCCGATCTGATCTGACTTGATATGAACTGACTGTAGACGGGTACAGACGAGTTGGACGTATTGTGGACTGTTAATGAATGAACTAGGATCGTATTAGAGACATTAGTCCAGTCCGAGCCCGTCCATAAAGTCCTTAAACAGGTCGAAAACATTTGCTATTACGTTCAACTCCGTTGGCACACAGTTTGAGCCCGTTTGGCAACATTTAAGAGAACGTAGTGAGAACTACTTTGGTGTGATGGGGGCTTTAGGGTGACGCTAATGCCCCATCACACCGAACTAGTTCTCATTACGTTCTGAAAAATGTTGCCAAACGGGCTCAAACTGTGTGCGAACGGAGTAATACGTAGTAGCAACTGTTTACAATCTGTTTAAGAACTTCATGGACTGGCTCGGACTGGCTAGTACGGGAGAGTGCTCTAGAACTTTGAGCCTGTTCAAAATTTTACCCGTCCTGCAATTAGACGGAGTGACATCGTACTTAAAACGAGGAGGACGGATTACGAACGGACTGATTGCCGTATCATGAACGGAATTGCCGTAATTCGATCATACTAGGAACGTGTTGCAAAGTACCGTGGTCGAGCACCAATAAGCAACCCCCATCAAACCGAACTAGTTCTCACTACGTTCTGGAACCGTCCTAGAAAATCGTAAAAACGGGGTGTGGTCGGGGTAAAATGTGTAAATATTGTCCATAATACGATCCTAGATCGTTCTTAAACAGTCCTTAATACCCGTCCACAGTCAGTTCATAATTATCAAGGTCAGATTGGGTAATTTTGCCATTTCCAAGCAGTGGAAGCCCATCATTAATCAGTTTAAACCAATTCTAACTAGTTTGCAACGTGTTCTATTAAACTAGTTTGTAACACGACCACCACGTTCAGGGACAGCTCAACTCGTCCGCATCTCGTTCTTAGTGCGTTCGAACGCGCCCATATAGTGTGCCATCCTGGCTCGAGGGCTATAAAAAGTCAGTGCAGTCTTGCCATTAACGGGGCGTTGTGGCGTGCGCCTGTAATCCAGCTTATAAAGGAAGTTACAAACTGATTCAGCCAAGGACGCAGGTTCGAAACTGAGTCACGTCTTTCGGATGGTGACGTTTAAAGTCGGTCCCCAGACGTAAATAATTATATCTGATTGATACACGTCTGTAAACGAAAAATCAATTACACACACACACCATTCATAATTTCCGTTCCAATTTACTACTGCTCATTGATGCTCGACCACGTCGTGTTGTAACTCGTTCTTAGCAGAACCGAATCAGACGGCAATTCCGTTCGTAGTACATCCATCTCGTTTTAAGTACGTTGTCACTCCGTCTAATGGCAGGACGGGGACAATTATGGACAGTTTCAAAATTCTAGAGCACCCTTCTCGTCCAAGCCAGACCGAGCCCTCCTATGAAGTTCTTAAACAGATCATAAACAGTTGCTAATACACCCCGTTCGCACGTAATTTGAGCCCGTTTGGCAGCATTTTACAGAACATAGTGAGAACTAGTTTGGTGTGATTTACTTGAATGTCTTGATCTGCACAGCTTGAAGCGTTGAAGTTAAACGCGAATGAGGTATGGCAAGAATGCGCTGGAGTTTTATAGCCTTTGAACTGTCTCTGAACGGAGTGGTAGGGTTATAAACTAGTTAGCCCAAGTTGCGAACTAGCCTTAGAATATGGGTTTGGACGTATTGGGAACGCGGTAGAACTAGTTTATAAGGGGTTTAAACTGACTACGGTCTGCCTGGAAATGGCAAATTTACCCGATCCGAACTTGATATGAGGTGACTAATGACGGGGTACAGACGAGATGGACGTATTGAGGACTGTGTATGAACAAACTAGGATCGTATTATAGACATCATTTTCATATTCTACCCCGACCACAACCCGTTTTACGATTTTCTAGGACGGTTCCAGAACGTAGTGAGCACTAGTTTGGTGTGATTGGGGCTTGAGGGACATTCAATCGGGGATGGAAAAATGTTGCCCGGTCGTTCCAAAAAAATATCGATCCTTTACTTTTTGTTCTTCTTCTTCTTCTTCTTCTTCTTCTTCTTCTTCTTCTTCCTCTTCTTCTTCTTCTCCTTCTTTGTTTTCTTTTAATATTTTTTTTGGATGAAAAATCGACACTCTTGTGCGCTGTGAGGGGGTAAGGTTATTCTATTCAAACATTGCATAAGATACCAACGCAATAATATCTGGGGGAGGGGTGGGGGGGGGGGGGGGGGGGGGGGGGAGGAACTGCCCAAATGAAAAATAGCAGCAAAGGTCAAGGACGTTTCATTTTTCTTCATAACAAAAAATATTTAGAAATCGTTCGAAGATGTTGATTTCTGGATCTCAGAGCTAAGGAGGGATGGTCCTGATGAGATCTTGATTTATGTGATTGGGAACAAAGTAGACCTTGAACCGCTCCGTGTTGTCGACCGGGAAGTGGCAGAGAGTTACGCCCAAACCAAAGGAGTGTTTCACTTTCATTCCAGCGCCAAGACTGGTCAGGATGTTGAAGAAATCTTCTATCATATCTGTAAGTATTTCGAGAAAATAATTTCATATGCCATTTCTTTATCGCCTATTCTATGTATTCCCAGAATAATACCCCGAGCGATAACAGGTTGACATTTATCCGAATCGACAGCAAGTTAGATAAGAATTGCATGCTATTTTCACAACTCTTAAAAACATGGGGCTCAGTTAATCGATAATTTACGTAAATTTAGATCATCGTAATCATTATGATCTCGTCTCTTACCGTTTTTATTTATGCCTCCGTCACGAAGTAGCCGGAGGCATTATGTTTTCGGGTTGTCGTTCTCGTGATCACGTTGTCTCAAGAGCCGATGTGTGGATTCCTGCCGTCATGTATGTATCTTACAGAGCTAATGAGCTGATTAGATTTTGGGGTCATGAGGTCAAAGGTCAAAGATCACAGTGCTAATTGTGTATGCAAAAATAGCTCGCGATCGCGTAATCTCAAGAACTGAGATTAAATGTAGTCCATAATCCCATGGATGCGTCCCTGAAGATGCCAATCCTTTTTTTGGGGGGGGGGGGGGGGGGGTAGGGGTGGGGTTGGGGTGTTCTGTCCTTTCTTGATCCGCTCACCTTTACAATGACTAAGGATCCTACAAATCTTAATTCTAAAGAACTTAGTTAGTTCTGAAGAAAAAAAATTATGTGTAAAATAACAAAACTAATAAAAGCTCAATGGTATTTGCCCCTTGACATTTTCTTCTTTTTAAAAGAAAAGTTGTTTTTTGGAATAGAGAGTACAGTTTTTGTCAAACTCAATTTTAGTAACCAAAACCTGCATCATTAGATAAAAACTAATAGTTATAACTGCACCATACTTGTCATTTAAATTGCATGCTCTTTCAAATTTGATACTCAGTTTTTCATTGTCTCACAAAAAAATTATTTCGTGCATCGCCCTCTATACCAAAACTCAACGATCCCTTTAAATCGGTTTTTATTCTTAAATATCCCTTTTCATTTCCTATACTCCTAACAGGTCAAATGGAGTACGAGATGAGATCAAGTAAAGAAAATGGAGGCATGCGTCCTCAAAGTACGATCGACTTCTCCAACTTCACCCAACTCGAAGGAAAGAAAGGCCGTCATCGCGGTCGATGTCGATGTCAGAGCACGTGATCACGTCATCAAACATGATCGCAAAGACTTTCTAAAATCAACGTGAAAGCAAATTCATTAGTCTTTTACATAGCCTATTACTCCGACCGAACATAATCTATACAGGCAATAGAATAGGCTATTGAAATTTCCCTTGATCAAAGCTCTTTGCATGCTTCAAGATAGAAAACCGATTTTATGGCTTGGATCTTCATGGAATTAAAACGAAACTAGATGGAACTTCGACTGCGCGCAGTCGAAAATGATGCCTCCGTCGTAGAGCAATTTTACAAACCAAAACAGAAGCAATTTTTCACATTCAAATTCGATTGTTATTCATTAACAGGTTTCCATGATATTGTGATTACAAGTTTTTTCTCATATACATGTATCATCCTTTAATCTTTGACCTCATGACCCTACAATTTAATTAGTTCATAGGCTTTGCAAGATATACATGTCCTAAGTTTGATTGTAATCCATCCGTCAGTTCTAATGAAAATGCGTTCACAAGCTATTTTTCCATGCATAATGAGCCTCATGACATATGATCTTTGACCTTCGACCTCATGACCCCAAAATATACTCAGTTCATTGGCTCTGCATGATACCATGGACCTACTACATGATACATACATGTCTTGAGTTTGATGGTAATCCATCAATCGGTTCTAAAGATAATGGGATCAAAAGCTATTTTTGCATACATAATAAGCCCCATGACCTTTGACTTTGACTTCATGACCCCAAAATCTAATCAGTTCATTGGCTCAGCAAGATACATACATGTCCTTAGTTTGATGGTAATATGTCCATCTGTTCTAAAGAAAATGTGATCACAAGCTATTTTTGCATACATAATGAGCCCTGTGACCTTTGACCTTTGACCTCGTGACCCCCAAATCGAATCAAATCATTAGCTCTGCAAGTTACATACATTACCAAAATAATCTTCATATAGGTCTAAATATATTTGCAAGTGAACTTTTACATTTCCATACAAGGTTACAAATAAAATTACACATTTACAGATGAAAAATATTCACATAAACAAAATTATATTTTTACATTTTTAACAAATCGCAAATAAAGTTTGTACTATTTCATCGACCAGTTTGCGTACAAATTTCAAATTATTTCTTTTCTTCCACAATATTTTTTTTTCTCCACTTAAATTTCCTTTAGAGAGAAAAAAATACCAGCTGATCCTTAGTTGATGGTTGGCATACCTGTTCTTGAGGTGGAATGCATTTATCTGAATTCTGTCAGGGTTAGCTCTCAGGTGGTTTGTCGCGTGGTATGGGACGAGTCCGGCCAGGGCATCGCTGAGGGACTGCTCTAGCTTCACAAAAGACTGGTTCTGGGTGGCGATGCAGAGATCATCATCGTAGAGGAAGCTCCTGGTGTTTGGATGGATTGGTTGGTCGTTCCTGTACAAGTTAAAGCGCAGTGGTGCAACCGTGCAAGCACTCTTCCTTGTGGGAGGCTTTTTTTGTTGGTCTGGACCATCTCCTGCGATTGCCGTTAAAGAACCACCAAAAAACGCTGGGTGTCTCGCATTCTTTGTCAGGTCAAATATCTTCCTGGTGAGGATTCTGTGGTTCACGATGACGTCGCACAGTGGGCCAGGGAGGAACCAAAGTGCGCCAAAACTAAATTTGGGTGATTTATTTTTTTCATTTTTTTTCTTGCCCAGTTGAAAGGTAATACATAGAGGAGTACCTCAGTGAAATATTTAATTCCGGTATGCACAATAAGGGTATAGATTTACTACTTCAAACAGCAAAATCCTACATATTCACAGTTTTAGTGCAAAAGTGACTTTTTTTTAAAAATCTTTCAATTCAACATGAAGTTTTTAAGTTATTGATATGAAATTGCTCTCACATATTCCTGATAGTTCATTTCGTTGAATGAATGGGTTAAAATTAATAGAAACACTATATTCATGATATATTATAGGGTAATTCACTGAAAAATGGACTAATTATCCATGTATTTTATAAATCCAGAAGAAATGTTTAGATCTCCGCGGTGTACCGCTTAAATTTTAATACCACCATTTTATCTGATGTCTAAGCTTCAAGTTGATACCAAATTTGGCTGCCCGATCTTGCCCGTTGTTATGTTAGAGCCGATTTTCTTGCCACATTGCCCCGAAAAATGTGGGGTTTTGGGGTCCGCGGCTGAATCATGAAGGATTCATGGTCATAAATCACGGCGCGAGGGGGCGCGTAACACTTGTTCTGACACCGCGGACCAAAATAACACATTTTTCGGGGCAATGTTGCAAGGAAAACGGCTCTAACATAATAACGGGCAGAATCGGGCAGCCAAATCTGGTATCAACTTAAAGCTTAGACATCAGAGAAAATGTTGGTAATAAACTTTAAGCGAAAATCCCTGGAAATCCAAACATTTCCTCTGGATTTATAAAAAACAAGTCCCCAAACATGAGTTTTGGCGCACTTTGGTTCCTCCCTGGCCCACTGTGCGTCGGCAGCAGAGAGGTCAACGAAAGCAGCTCCAGTGATTACCGTACTATCATAGCCATCCTCAATGAATTGAGTGAGGTCGAGGAGTTGGCCTGTCACAGTTGTATCATATGTACTTCAAACCGCAAGCGATTGCCACAAAGTCATAATCTGATATATCTGATCACATGATTGGGTGTAGAAGGCTCGTATATTATACATAATAATATTAATAATAGCCTAATAGTCCACTCCAAATTTTATTAAACCGAAACGGAAATTCTTTTTGCCCATTTGATCGTGAGCCCGGCAGCCACTGAGCAGCGCCAGATCGACGTTGCTCTATCCCTTATTGTCGAACGCCAAACAAGGTAGCAACAACTCCCATCTTTTAACGTCTTTTGGTATGACGCGGCCGGGGTTCGAACCCACGACCTCCCGGTTGTGAGGCGGACGCTCTACTGACTGAGCCAACACTCCGGTTACCTCGGCAGTTCTGATGAAGAACTGGCATGGGTATGGTTTTTCATAGTTAATGCTACATGTAAGAAGCTTTATCCAATGAGTTTCCAACTACTTGGCATGCCTTTTCTAACAGGATCTGACATTACTTCATATTTCTACAGAAAGGGCAAGCTTTCAGCCCTTAAACCTATTTTGAATGGGGATTTTGAGGGACTCGACACTGCCTTATAGGCGAACTTGGGGCCAATCACTCTGATCTGATAGCGACAAGGGAAGATTTCGTCTGAGCATTGTATGGCCTTCCTTTAGGTTCATCCATGGCAGAGGCATTTTACCAGCTGTACACACGGAAACATGGAAAGCACCTCAAAGTCATGGCTTTGCCACTAACACATGCAAACCTCTCTCTGCATATTCTGATATTTCAGTCGACCCAAACCATTTCTGTTTATCTTTAATAACTGAGTGGTCTCTGTAATGACTGTTAATTCTGCTCTCATCACTGGTACAGTGGGACATTAAAAATGAATACCTATGTATTATGTCTTGGTGGACAGAAATCCACAAGGCCATTAGCCAATTGCCTGAAAATATGCTAATTAGGTTAATTAAACTAGCAAGGCTAATTAATTTCATTCAACATGATTTACCTTTGAGATAAATATTGGTTGTCTTTAAAAAAATACACATTGAAATTGTCATTCCAGATTTTTCTGGATAAAACTGGACCAAAATCAATAAATGCAAATTTACTAATTATGTTAATTAGGCTAATTGTACTACATCTAAATGGAATATCTTCTACTAAATTAATGTGTTTAAAAATGGTGCAATGCAACATTGTTAATCGCTTTTTAGGCTTTCTAGATTGACAATGAGAATTAAGTCCATATATTGTACATATGAATTAGTTCATTAATTATGCTAATTATGCTATTTAAGACAATTGCATTACTTAAAAATAAGAACCAGTGTCATACATGAATTCCCCGTCATAGAAAACACTTGAAAAGTAGTATTATCCATGTTTTTAGGATTCCCGGATTAAGATAAGCAACATATTACGTATTGCACATATGCTAATTTGATGATTATGCTAATTAAGCTTATAAAAAAGTTGCTCAAGGTCGCCAAGATGGCAACTAAGTTGAATTTACCTCTTAACTCATCTAGAACACGATTCAACCAAAAAACCTTGTACTTATTAACTTTTCCGAGTCTAACAACTTCTACCGGACTAATGTGTCATATAATAAATATGTCCTTGACTCAAGGAATTGTACAGCTTCGATGAAAAATGTCACGTGTAACTCTAATTTATAAAAAGGTAGATAAACAAGAAAAAAAGCAATTACAGACCAATATCGGTTATTCCAGTACTAGCAAAAGTGATAGAATTGTTTTTCCTGTTTTCAAGAAGATATATGACTTTTGTCAATGACAACAACTTACCATGTGATAATCAGTCAGGTTTTCGGCCAACACACTCAATGACTACTACACTTTTAAATATCACAGAAGATTTATTTGATAATATAGACAAAGGGTGCACAACAGGAACTGTTATGCTCGATTTACAAAAACATTTGACTGCATTGATCATCACATCCTTCTGCAAAAATTACGTTTTATCGGTATGTCTGAAAAGGTTACCAAATGGTTTGAATGTTATCTTATAGGGAGAAAGCATGTATCCCAAGTCCCTGGTATAAGCTCGGATACTAAAGAACTTACACGCGGAATACCGCAAGGTTCTATCGTAGGACCTATGCTGTTTTTGATATACCTGAATGACCTACCAACTAAAGTGAATCATTCTAAGGTATCCTGACGATACGTTTTTATATGTCAGTAGTAACCATGTTCAATACAACTCTAAACAAAGACCTAGAATCCGTATGTGAATATCTAAAATGCAACAAACTAAAATTAAATGTTAAGAAATGTGAGTTTCTTGTTGTAGGTACCGGATGTAAGTAAAACAGACTTGACCTAATATACATTTACTAGTAGAGAGTTAAACCCATTCCAAGAGTTTCATCATGTAAGTATCTCGGCGTAACTCTAGACGAAAATCTAAGA